TCAAGTGGCTAGCACATAGAGTAAGCATTGATTAAATAGCTTTATTAAAAAATGTTTCCAAAGACTGGTTCCCCTCGTGAGCAAAGGCACTCACACCAGGGGAATTTAGAAACATGTAAGAGTAGATTTAATTGGAACCTTATCACCACCTTGGATTTAATAATAATAAAGCAAGGTGTTTTGACCAACTGAGCCAACCAGTCATAAAAGTGCCAAGGAAAACTTCCATTCCCTACTTTTCCTTTGTACTCTATTTCTTCACATGTTTAAGTCAGTTAACAAACTAACAAACACTTGTTCTCTGGCTTCTTAGGGCCTCGAGACTATTTTATTTTTCCCAAATATTATTCCACCATTATCCTTTTATAATCTGAAATAGTCACAGGGTAGTTCCAAAGAAAACCAAGCTGTAGTTTTCTTCCCTTTTTTCTAGACATCAAAGAAGCAATCTAAGCCCCATATTCTAGAGAAAAACAGTAGAATAGTCTTGACCACGCCCCTCTCCCTATAAGGTTAAAAAAAAAAGTTTTGGGCATTCTGCCTTAATTTCTTACTGAAACTACAAAATGTAGTTCAGATAGAGTGGTAAAAAACATGTAAGCCACACATCTAAAATATCTCATGGACTGGCATCCTACACCCATTTTTGGTCTCTCTTTATCTTAAAACACAAAGTACTTTTTTAGCAAATCTTTAAAAAAAAGCATTTATTTAACCCTAAACATTTTCACATATTAGGAGACAAGAGTAGATAACATTAACAAAAGAAAACTATTCTTAACAATCAAAAACAAAACTTTTAACTATTACAACTGCAACTAGTAAAACCACCATGTATGTACAATCAAGAGTTGCCAATGGGAGAAAACACATACACAGCCAAAGGGCTGCTAATAGGATATAGATAAATTACTAAGATTGATTCCAGAATTAAGAAAGACTGAAACAACCAAGGAACATTACTCAGAAGCAAAATTCTCTTTAAAAGCCAACTAAAGAACTGGCAAGAGAATACTTGATTCTGAAGTTCTTCCATCTTAAAGATATTTTAAAAGAGAAACTTTAAAAGATTTATTTGCTAGAATAGATAAGAGACTGTACCATCCCTCATTTTAACTTAATTGTAATAAAAAATAATAAGAAACTTTTAAATTTAAATTATCTCTAAATGATCCTACAAGATCATCCACTGACACAAAACTCTTAAAATGCATTTTGTGGAGATTCTACACAGCTATTGGAAACTTAACCCTACCCCAAAAATTACATATGTTGATTCTCCACAGACATTAAGAAATCATATTCTAGGTAATGAAAACACTGGTTATTTTTCTTCTTTACATTTCTCTGAATTTTTCAAACCACTGTCAACACCACCAAAAAGTCATCAAGACAACCATCAAAAAGACAACTTACTTTTAGTTGATTTTCAGCTTCTAATAAAAAATCCTAGCTAAAAATTATAAGAAAGCAAGTAATGATATACTCATTAATGAAATATACTGTCAGACAGATAACAAAACTGATTAACTTGCTTTTACTTTCAAATTCTTAAGTTAAAAGATAGATTTATTCAAAGCATAATGCTGGCACTAAAAAAAAAAAGTCAAATTTCCTTGAGTCTACCATGACAAAAGAGCAAAGTTTGAAAAACTGATTAAATTTTGAGCCATGATCTCCAATGTCATCTGGAGCCATGACTTAAAATAGACACACACACACACATGTACTATAAACTTTTCTACATTAAAGAACCATAGTTGATCCAAGTAGACTATTAAAAGTTCTTTCTGCTGTAGTTAACTGGTATGTTCATGATAGGTATACATACTTTATTCTTAACACATTCCTTATAGATCAAGCAGCCAAAATGATTTTCTTGACACTAAAAAAACCCACTAGAAGCTAATGGACTAGGAAAAATGTTTCGGGTATGAGAATAATGCTAAGTATTTCTTAATCAGTGTGCTGAAATAATCACTGCCTACTTCACCACCTAGCTCAGAAAAATAAAAATTTTTCTTGAGTGTTCCAGAAAAAAGAAAGCTCTGATTCTTCCTGTCTACATTTTCCACTGTTCAGATTCCACTTAGCTGCTTTTTGTTTTTGTTTGTACTTGAAATGCAACCAAGTCAGTCATGATCCTTAATTTCTACGATAAAGAAAACCAATGGTTGTCAATTCTACTAAATCAATAAATCAATTAAATAACACGGAAAGAAGTCAGTGGAACAGCTTAAAATTTAATCAGTAACTGATATATTTCTTATTCTCCTCAGTACCAAACAAAAATTTAAAACTTAAAAATCATGAAAGTATTCAGTTAACAAAATTACCAACAGGTAATCAATCTTATGTCAACTAATATAAATCTAAAAACCTGTTCCCTCTGAGAAAACCAAACTTTCTTTTGTCAAGAACCCATCATAGAATCATGAAAGGCACTCACCCATTAAAAATTTTTTAAAAAATTAAAGTTTGGAACAAGGTGTTAAAGTAAATAGACTTATATGTGGGTGACAAAAAAAAAAAAAACCCTCTAAGAATCTCTTTACTCTATTTTCCAATTTCTCTCTAATTATTTTTATGATAACAAATTTCATTAAAGACAAAGAAACTGAAGTCAGATTGATAAAAATCTGTTTGCTAGTTGCCCTTATGACATTCCCTAATAAAATATCACCTCCTCTCACCTCAAGTAATTTCCACTAATGCTTTCCCAAACTCCTAGAAAACTAAATGCAATGTAGAATATAAATACAGTAGGCCAAGTACTGGCATACTTGATGCCAGAAAAAAATAAAAACGTGATTTCTGGATTTGATTCTGCTGAAGTCATTAATCTAGAGTACTGGCACTTTATTTACTTAATATTACTATCTTTGCTATTTATTAACCATTCTTCTACATTTTTCACCCTTGAAAAATACTCCACACTCTTGTTTCTCCAACTCTATTGCTAATAATTCCCAAACAGGTCTGTTTTCTATAAAGCCTTCCTGATCCAAAGCAGCCAACCACAACCCTCTACCCTCCTTTGAAATCCTTTTGCTCCAATCCATGCCACACATCTGCAATCTGCTATATCTACTGGTATTTGACATATACAATTTTCTATATTCCATTAAAAGCTCCTGGAGGATAAGATTATTATTCCTAAATCCTAACATGAATGTCTTACATGATAATGATGTACACCACCTAGAGTGACTGCTCTTAGAGTTTCCCAAATTCTTTTACATACACTTGAACCTCACAACTACCCTGATAGGAATACTAACTCCTATTATCCCATTTTACAAAAGGAGAAACAAATTAAGAGGCTAAATAATGTCATGGTTCTGTTCAACCAATCTTCAAGATCTATTTACAGTACTAAATATATGTAGCAAATGTAAGAAACTTCCTGAACAAGAGGTTTACAAACCTCCAGAAAGTAGCAAATCCATGAATTTTATTGTTGCAAGAAAAACTACTAAATTATGGACTTCAAGTTCAACTCTGCCCAACTATCCAAAACCAACTTTATCCTCGGAGCCCTTCATAATTTAAAAACTGCCAACATAGCAAATATGGCACTATAGAACACTATCTTAAACTTCTCAAAGTTCATAAAATTTTAATAAAAACTATGGCTACTGTTTAGTACAAAAAGGGGACATTTCAGCATCAAACCACAGTATTACAAAACTTGAAGTCAGAATGTATTTTGTAAGAGCCATGTGACACACACATGACAGCTAAACTGATGGGTAAGATCTCTTGAGGGAAATGTTTAGCAGTAAATGAGCAAAGCAGCCAATAAACTAGACCTTTAGAACGAATACTGACTTTTGCTTTAAAAAATATTCGCTCCCTCTCCTAAAGCCTTCTGACACTGAAGAGGAATACCAATTAAATGTCCTCCAATTATTTATTAATTTATATATGCAAACTGTAGGAAGACTTTTTCAAAAAAAAAAAAAAAAGCTATTAAGAAGTGCCCAACGAAGTCTTCCCAAGGAAAGTGAACACCAATTCCTAGGAAAAGTGCCAGGTGTGTCACATCTGCTGTGGTGACTTCCTGAGTAAGCAAGAAAAAGAAATGCATTAACTTTTCATGACACGTCATGGAACCTCATTCCCTATCTGCAAACATTCAAGTAGGTAATCCAAAACCTACAGATCTATCATAGGGTCCATTCGTTTCTTTCAACTTGACTGCAAAGTTTTCCTTTAATTTGGTAACATCAGAATGATGTTCCTACGTTTTAGTCATTTTTTTTTCTTGACCTACACAAGACAAATGACTTCAGTGTCCTCTAAAAAGAAATTCTCACAATGCCTAGGTTTTTAAGAAGGCAATGGGCCTGGCAAGTTTTAAAAGAACTCCAAAAAATAACGAAAAAAGAGAACTAAAAATTTTAAATCGCTTCTCACCATCTACTAATGCCCCTCAATCTCACGCAGTCCTGAAAAGCATCCATATTACCTGCAACCTGGCAAGGAGGGTGGAAGAAGACATAGCCAACGAGCTCAAGATTTACAAGCAGAGCGGGTTTCCACCCAGACGATTCTGACAGCTCCGCAGAGCGCGGGCGCAGGGTCTGACAGTGCCCTAGAGAGCTCTCTCACCCTATCCTCTCCCCCCTTAAAAACAAATGCTTCTTCAAAAGTCACTCCCTCCAAAAACAGCTACCCCTTCGACCGCCCTACCACCGACTCCCAAACGCCCCCACCCCCCTCAGCAGACTGTTCCTCCGCACCCGCCCGGCACTCAGGCTCTCTCTCCGGACCCGGTCCAGGCCCGGCCAGCTCACCCCTGTGGCCCGACCCCTCCCCGAGGCCGCCCCTCCTCCGTCAGACAATAGGGCCCGACTCCCGGACGCCAGCCTCTCCTGCCCCATCACCTTCACCTCACCCGGCCAAGGCTCCTACCCCCGCCCTAGCCCTCCTCGCCCCCTTTAAGCTTTCCCAAGCTGGCCCACGGACCCAGCCGACCAGTGCTCTACTGCACTCACTATTCGGGATTCATGCTGGACATGTCACTGCAGCTGCCGCCGCCGCCACCGCCGCCCTTGCTGCTGCAGCCGCCGCCCTGATTCTCCGCGCCACGGGTAATCGAAGGAAAAGAATGAGATAAGCTGTTCCGGGAGAGCAAACGTCTTCCCCTACTCCGTCCCCTTAGAACACAATCAGCAGCCGCCGCCACTCAGCTATCGCTTCCACCCAAAATGGCCGCCGGCGAACCAGGAAATAGGAAAGCCTTAGACCGAAGGGCCTTTACACTGCCCGGAGGGCGGTCGCGCCGCGTGGCATTCCGGGAAAGAGAGTTGCTCGAGTGTATTTGGGCACTGGAGACTGACGGTGCGGCGCGGGGGCTGGAACTCAGCTTCCCGCCAAGCCCCGCGCCTCTGGTGCATGCGTACTTGAGGGGTTGTCGCCCGCCCCATTCCCCACTCTCTCACCGACCCCCTCCGCCCTTCTTTGCTCTACTCCCCGCTGACTCGCTGGCTAGGACTTTGCTCGAACTCCCCCTAGCGGATTGGCTAAGGCGGAGCGTCCCTGGTGATGTCATCAGTGAGACGTGGCAGCCGGGCGAGTCAGCGCCCCACGGAGGAGGGGGTGGGGAGGGGCAGAGGCGGTGCTGGCTGCCGACGGACGTTGGGGGTGGGGTTGCTTTAGGCATTGGGAGGAGTGAGGAGCGAGGGGTCGAAACCAGAAAGACTGCCTGAGTGCGGAGGCGGGGAGGGTAGGGGGCTGGAGGACACGCCTGGCTGGTCCTGCTTCCCGTGCGCCTTCTGCTGGCCTGACCAGCTTGAGGCTTGAGCTTTTCGGCTGGTCCTAGGACGTCTGCTCTAAGGACAGGAGATTCAAGGAGCTTCTGCTGAAAACTGGGTATCTGGAAAACACGAAGCCGTTCTTTCAGCTTTTTTCCTCACTCACCTAAGCCCACTGGGTCTGGTTATTATTCCGGTGTTGGCCGCAGGCACGACCATTTTCACTTTTGATTTTTCACCATTCCCTTTCAGCCCTACTCTGATCTTCGCAGCATGGATATTGCAGTAGCCTCCGAGTGGACTGCCTCTGTCTCTTCTCTCTTCCGGGCAGTTTGCACACAGCCAGATTTATCTTCCTGGAACAGCGCTTCCATCACGACCCCACAACTTTCAGTGCCTCCATATTCCGTGAATGGTACACAGCCCACAGTCAACCAAAAATTCAAGGTGTTCCCTGGTATCAGCCTTAAAGTCGAATTGTACTTATTTTTAGTTGTTTAATGCTGAGCTGTTCTGCAAGATTGGAAAGTAATAAGCGTTAGAAACCTGCAATTCATCACTATATAATGCCTAGAAACTCTGGGAGTAATATTAAGGTCTTAACAGCTCTTTTTAATCAGCTCAGGAATTTAAATCTCCACTGAAGTTTGACACATTATTTTGGGTTATTTAATTACAAAGGGCAAGTTAGTTTATATTCTAACTTGTTCTAAGAACCAAGAAAATTATCTCCCAAGAGTGATTGCAAAATCACTTTAAATTCCCATGACACCAAAGAATGGAAAAAAGGCAGTTCTTATTTCTACCGATTTACTACCTATACTCCTTAACCCTTAAATTTCATCATGCGCATTAGTTGACAAACTTATGAAACAGTGCTTTAGAGTCCCCTTCACATCATTATTGGCTTCTGAGATGCATATGGTCACCACATCAGAAGTACTCTGAATGGATCAATCATAGACATCAAAAAGTGTTTATTACCCTAGACTCTTGTCCTTTCCTGCTTTGTAATTTCACAGAAGAAAAATGGAAACTCTCTGAAGAACACAAACTGAGCCCAAAATACAATTTTAACCTGCCTTTCCCCTTCCACCCAAGAAAATTTATACCGCTAAATTTCCTTGAATTGCCTTTTTTTTCCCCCCAACAAAGAAATACCTCCTAATAATTTTTACCCTAAGAGAGAGTAGTTGTAAGAATTAAAAGATTGTAAAGTATATAGTTCAATGACTGTAGGGGCACTTGATAAATGTTAATTACCTTTCTCTTTCTCTCAACTTCCCTCAGTACCAAGGACAGGACACCTCATACTCAAGTTATAGTGTTTTAATATGCAAGGAGATCAGAGATGGCTTGGCTTGGGTGTGGTGGCTGGCTGTTTTCTGCATCCTACTACAACTTATGTGTTATTTACATTAAGACTTCCTTTCCAAACTTAAAGTCTCAATTTTGCTGATTCAAACAATGCATTCTATGTGTAGGTGTTTAAGAATAGCTACTTTTATAATTTGGATTAATAACTCAGAATAATTCAATAAACTAGCATGAGCTCTGTTGGTTGCCCTATTGTTGGACTCTCCCAGGGCTCTTTGTCTATTTGTTCTTTGGATCATTCTTTGCTACTTTCTTTTTTTTTCTTCTTTCCTCCTTTCCTTTTCCTTTTCTTTCCTTTTTCTTTTATCAAATATTTATGACCTGGCACGTAATAAATGTGTATGGAACTTGTGCTTGGGACCATGAGGAATACAAAGATGAATAATTACTCAACTCTCTGTCTTCAAGGAGATAACAGCCCAGTGAGACAAAGATTGTACACAAACAAGGCCCATAGGGATATATGCAAAAATAAGTTAAAATGCTATGAGGTATGTAGGAACAGAGATCAGTGATTTCCAGGAACTAGGAGTGAGAGTGGAAATTTCTACAAAGAGACAGAAGAGAACTTTCTTGTTTGATAGAAATACAGTAGTTACACAAATTTTCAACTGGACAAGTTCGGCTCCCCTAACCTCTGCGCTGTTCAAGAGTCAGATGTATATCTTCACTGTGGTGATTGTTAATTGCTCAAGTGTGTTTGCTTGTCAAAACTCAGAACTATACACCTAAAAGTATCAATTTAACTGTATATAAATTATACCTCAATTAGGAACCTGACATTCAGAAAATGATATGAGGTGGAATTACAGAGGACGGAAACAATTCCAACTCAAACTATTGGGAATGCTTTCATAAAGGAAATATTTAAATTGAGTCTTGAAAAAGATTAAAATTTTGACAGAAGTGAGAGAGAGGCAGCCGTTTATCCTAGAATGACAAAAGAATGTGAGTATAACTCTAGAAGTGCAAAGATACGTATATTTAATGAATAGTTCCATGGAAGATGTGGTGGGAGACACTGAGATTAAGGTGAGATCATGGGGAGCCCCAAATTCTTGCTAAGAAGTTTCAACTTTATTCAGTAGGCAATAGAGAGTCAAGAAAAATTTTCTGAGAGAGAAATTGAGGTGACCAGCTCAGTGTTTTAAAATACAGTGTTTTAAAAGAGCACTTTAGGGTTCTGTAGAGACTGGAGGTAAGGAGATTAGTTAAAAGGACATTAGATTCCTTTTAGGCAAGAAATGATGTATCCTGACCTAGGTTAATTGCATCAAGAATGGAAAGGAGAGGAAATTCCAGAGAGGAGATTGAATCTGAAGGTGTGGAGAGAAAGAAGCTAAAAGTGACCCAGAGATATCTAGTTTACCTGTCAACATGGGAACCAAGGTCCCAACCAAGTCAGAGAACAGGGGAGGAGAGGTTTAGAGTTGAGTAAAGAAGGAAGACTGGCAGCCCTGTGCAGTTCAGGGTCAGAGTTAAAGCTGCCCCGGTGTGAAGTACTACAGTCATGCGCCATTTAACGACAGGGTATGTTCTGAGAAATGTGTCTTCAAGTGATTTCGTCCTCATGTGAACATCGTAGTGCATACTTACACATACCTAGATGGTTAGCCTATTACTCCAAGCCTGTACAAATGTTACTGTACAGAACAACATGAGATTCAAGCACAAGAGGAAATGATGCAATCAAGAGCTACAGTAAACACGAGATGTGTGAGGCCACTGTCGGCGTAACAGCGTACTGCTTTATAATAAACTTTTTTTTACAAGTAGAAAGAATACACTCTAAAATAACAATGAAAAATATAGTATAGTAAATACATAAGCCAGCAACAGTCATTTCTCACCAAGTTTCATATACCATGTGCAATTGTATGTACTATAATTTTGTACGACTGGCAACGCATTAGGTTTGTTTACACCAGCTTCACCACAAACACATGAGTGCACTATGACTTTTTGATGGCTACATCACTAGATGATAGGAATTTTTCAGCTACATTCTAATCTTACGGGACCACCATCATATATGTGATCCATCATTGACTAAAATGTTGGTATGCAGTACGTGACTGTACCAGAATCAGCACAAAAAAAAAGACTGTCAAAGATAAAGCGAGACACTAGTTATAGCAGTAAGAAGACTTTATTCAGTAATAACTACTGTAATAGGGAAAAGGGCTCAATGTGAACTGAATTTAATGCCACTAAAACAAAAGATAGACTTTTTAAAAGCTGGGATGTGCTAAGGAAAAGGCATTGAGGGGTATTAAGTGGGCTGGTACAGGTGACTAGGCCATCTGGATTTGTTAACTGGCATTTACCTGGAAGACAAACTTTTTGCATCTTTATGACAGGAGGCAGTGGGCTGGAAGTGAATAAATTGCACTTCAAAGAGACAGGAAGCAGGAAAAGATTTATAATTGCAAGCTTTCAAAAGTTACTGCTCTAAGGGAGTTCTGGGGCAGATCTGCCTATCACCAGGTTTTGACTGGAGCAAACAGTAAATTCTCCAGGTACTACTGAACTTTCTCAAACTGCATTTTAAGGGTCCTGGGGTTCTCTAAAGATGTGGCCTTGAGCTCTTTGAAACTGTCCTGGTATTTGTTCAGATCTCAAGTGTAAGGATGGGTGAGTGGACAAAATCATTTGTGCTAAGTCTGTAGTTTTCATAGGCCAAGTTTGAGACCTAATTGAAAAGAGTGCTCAAGAAGCGTGGCTAGAGTTTGGTTAAGAAAAGAGTTTTGTCAACTGTTCTATTAGACAGAACTCTGAATTTAAGATGTCCCCTGACTGTGTGAGAAACATCCCTTTATTTCAATGTCTCTAAAGTACCACATTTGATCTATAGGTAGTAGGTGGTAGTGGTGAAAAATCTTAAGGGAAATTGTAAAGTTGGAAAATGCTTCCAAGGCTCGAACTTCCGTCACCACTATCCCCTTACACCTTCTCATGCCCAAACTTACCCTAAACATAAACCCTCAACACACATTAAACTCCAGATACACCTTCTCATGCCCAAACTTACCCTAAACATAAACCCTCAACACACATTAAACTCCTCTCCACTTCAGTTTTAAGGTATTTTCCATTCCTACTCTACCTTCCTGCACCCTTCCTGACCTGTAAAAGATGCCCTATTGCCTTAGAGGTGAGAGAAAATTTAGAGGTGAGCTTACCACTCCTTCACTTTTGCTTTCTCCCTCCAAGACAGGAAGATAGAGAGGATGTAGACTCTTGCATCCCTACATCCCCCACCCCACCCCA